TTTAAAATATAATTATATAAGTATAACATAACCTCTACCAGACACTAGGAGATCCACCATAAACACACATACCTTTATTTTTAAACAAATATGAAAGTTTACGATGATTAATTTATATATATGTATAACACGAATAGCATGATAAGGGAATCACCCATTAGCAAAATCTCCTGAACTAAGTTAATTAGTCTCGACACTAATAATTACGTATCTACGTATTAAGATTTTCGGAAGAGTGCGATGGTGGACACATGAGAAAGAGCGGGTGATTGCTATGCGTAAATGTTGGTTGAAACGTTTGTACCTACATTATTTGAGCACACGTGCCTACCAACAACTAATGTTTTTGAGGGGGAAAGGCACGCCCCCCCCCCTAGTGCTCCCCGGGATTATCGCCACTGAATTTATTATGTAGGTTTTTATGTAGGTTTATATAGGTTTTTCAAAAATTTTTATAATGGTCTGTGCCGTTTTTGACCGGCGAACGTCTCTCAGGCCCGACGGTTATAAAATACGTTTCGAAAATCGTACGCGATAGGTGTGTAGGTGCGGCGGAGAGTGAAACAAACTAGCGTAATAATTTGCCGCCGCGTACAACCCGGTGAGCGCGCGTGTGTAAGTGCATCATAATATACACTGGCGGCGGCGCGGGAGCAACTGGGCCAACGGGGCATGCGGGGGGTGATGTTGGGCGGAGATTGTGTGACCTACTCGCCGGGACCCTAATTAAAGGAGCGCGTTGCGAAACGCCTAGGCCGCGCGCGCGCTCGTGTGTGTGTGTATATGAGCAAATATAATCGGGTAAGCGTGTGTGAGTATACTCGTGTGTGTGTGCTTGTGTGTATAGTTCGAGTGTACTCGCCCAACAGACACATACACGTCTGTAAATGTATAATATGCTAATCTACATTCTGAATGCATTGTGTGTGCGTGCGCGCGCGACACCAAAAGAAAAAACGCAAACACACACTCACAAACATCAAACCGCACCGTCGAGAGTGAGAAGAATGATGACAACTATTGTGCAACAGCCTACGCTCGCACACACGTACCTGCAGGTGTGTGTGCGGGCGCGCGACTCGATTTTCGTTTTCGTTTGATTATTCGTTTGTTTTTCGTAAAAAAAAATATATAATATCCAGACTCGCTTTCGCGCGGCAGATAACGCAAGAAACTAGGTAACCGCCGCCGTAACTGAAATATTCTCTCCCACCGACGACGCGCCGTAACGTTACGACGGATTATTAATGGTCCGTTAACGAGTATATACGGCGCGCGGGGTTTTTTGCACAACTCCAACAGTGCCGTGCGCGCGAGAGCATATTTCCGAAACCGTTTTTCTCGAAATATAAAATACGTGCGCCCTATTTCGATATATGCTTAATGACAACCCCCGGTCATAACAATAAAATATTATATACGGTACGGGTGTACGACGACATAATACTTAACAATATATACAACACGTGAAGAATTTATCGCCACCACCCGGCGATCCCAGTGGCCGAACAAATGGTACATATATATTATTATTATAAACGCGACACGCGCGAGGGCAACGATATAATATATAATATCGTTGGGAAATCGATACACGTACCTATTTATTGTTATTATTATATTATTATACAACAAGTCTTTGGGGAGAATTTTACCACCCACGCTGCATCCGAACATTTCTAATACGCACTCATTCTAACGTCCCATGTTTTCGGCTATGCATATAGACACTGTATACGTCATAATATTATGCTTTACCGGTGACGGAATAGGAAAAAAAACATGTTATGCGTTTCATACGAATCGATGCGATTTGTGATGAGCCAATTTTCAAATTGCACGAAACAATCGCTCTACAAAACAATCGACAATGCATACACACAGAACAGGATTTCCGAACGCGATTATCAGTATACGCATAGCGCCCCGGTGGTAAAAAGAACGGAAGTTCGATGCGTATATTTCAATAGAATAACAGATTGAACGCTAACACACACACGCAAGCGAGCGGGTCATAAACATATTATACGTCGTACAGAATACACCTCGATGTCTATCTATATATAATACTCACTATAGCGGGAAATTAGGTTAATTTTCATGCCAAAACCAATTATTATTAATGATAATAATATTATAAATAATATATATACTTAATCGTGTATACGTATGTACGTATGTATGTATGTATGTATGTATGACGACCGTTGTATCATTTAAAATATCTATAAACCATAAAAATGAGCTACATAATGTTTATCATTATTCAATGGTCAACTACATTATCCCCCTCTGCCCCTAACCACCCGGTACACGTATTGTACATATTATAGTACCTATACGACATCGAAAATTAAAGAATATTATTATTATTATTATTATTACTATAATACGTAACACATAACATGTCCATGCATGCATACAGAATACATTATATACATGTATTATATATATATACATATACAATAATAATATAATACGTTATACAATTTTAACTTTTTTTTTATTCTTTAAAAAAACCGAAGGACTGAATAGATTATAAATATAAAATGCAATATATATATCGTCGTTTTATATATGTATTTCTATTATGTATTTGATATTCTACCGGTGGGACGAATCGCCTTGTATTAGAATAGCAGAAATAATAATAGTAATAATAATAAACTGTATGATGTCATGGAAGAATGGTGGAAAGCAATGCATATACAGACGGTGGGAAGGGGGACTCTGAGAAAATCTTGACGATCTTGACACGGATTCGGTCTGTGGAACAGAAAAACCGAGTTTTTTTATCATTATTATCTTTGCGTATATATTCCCCATAATACGAGTTACAAAATAGTAAATGTGTTTTTTACAACTTGTTTCAAAAATCTTATATGAGCAAGTTTTTTTTTAATATTATTTATTAAAAAAACTATAACATTTACAGTGTATGTAGTATGTACGTACCTACATATGTCTACTCAATTTTATTTGTATTTTAAATGAGTCAATTTTTTAATATGCATTATAATATATATAACATTTTAACTATTGAATTTATCTAACGTGGTATATCAAAATTATGCTGTTTCCTGGCAATTATTATGCATACATTTTATTATTTGCACGAGTTATTACTACTATACTTTATTCGTTATCGTTTATTGAAATATAAATTATTTTACACATGACATATTACAAAAAATGATACACAATACTTAACTATAGTTAACATTAGTTTATTGACCGACAGATGAAAATATTGTAGGTTTATTTGAAATTCTTTCCCAACGTGCAATACATAATTTCGATAGTTTACGTTGAAACGATGTATTACCCTATGAATTAGGATAACATAAATAAAAAAAGAACGGAGTCAAAATAGGCTAAGTACTTGAAATTTTAAAATAAAGACAGCGGCTTAACATCGGAGCAAACTTTTAAAATAGCATAGGAAAATTGAAATCGAAACTTGAGGACTCCATGGTGTTTCTGAACATCGTGTATATATTATACGGTTTTCTAAGACATCGTTGATTCTATAATTTCCACATAATACTATGTATATTATATATCATAATATAGTGTACACTATATATTATGTGTATTGTGTATGGGAATCGATCCCTCCTGTTGCGCAATAAATGGAATACAATTTTAATAGCAGACAAAATTAACACCACGGGTTACCCGTCAATAAAAATCAATACCACTAATATATTATTACTATTTACTACAATACATATTATGATAATAATATTATAACCATGCATAGACAAAGACCCCAAAAAACAGTATAAAACAACAAACTCACATGTGGGTATATTTATTGTAGGCGCATTGGAAAATTAAAATAAAACGTTCAACCTCGAAACCCTCTGAATCATTATTAATAATATATGGCAATAATGACTTTGGCGGTTAATAATACAAACAATAAACTAGGTTCGAAAAAAATCGAAAATACGGGTTATCAAAGTTGTACTTTTAAGCATTTTTTTCCTGTACGAGTTGGAAATTCACAATAATACCATCCGACCCGCATTTCCTCAAAACACGATTATTAAACGCAAATACTTAAAAAAAAAACATATATTTATATACATATAGAAATAATGACGAATCGATCATCCGAATTTAATCTGCACGCCGGGGCAGTTGAAAACATTTTCGAAATACAATACTCAAAATATGCTAACCAGTTTGTCGGGCAGGAATAAAGAGCGCTGCAGTCTAGTATTTTACAAATATTATAATACAATATTATCCCTACACATTATAAAGGTAGTAAAGTAGTAGTAGTAGTAGTAGTATTAGTAACGTGTTGACAACACACACACTAACACGTTTTTCGAACTCGGGAGAGAAGCATTTAATTAAAATAATTGGGCGGATGATCCAAAATTGTACAGTTGCGCTGCTGTTTGCTGTATACGTTCGGCAAATATGAACAAATCCCTCGTAAAATGTATTAGAGTTGTTTTACGTACATCATCATATTGCCCTGTGACTATAATATAACACTACAAATTACTACAACTACATAATAATAGGTGATACACGCTGAGCAATTTGAAAATTTAAACACGAGACGTTTTGTTTTCGTACGTCAACATATGCATTTCAGACAAATGTGATTTTCAGTCGTATTCTTAATCGCCTCAGACGGTGGGCGGAGATGATTACTGACAATATATATTTACTATTAAATCGAACGAAATATTATAATAATATGAACATTTTTTAAACCAAATAATAATAATAAACCATTTCCAACGAATACGTATTATTTTAGTTACACGAGTAATTGAGTTATACGAGTTATTGATATTTTACTAATATGTGAATTTAAGCAACTGCCGTTTAAGTTTTCGACGTAGAAATATTATAGAAAAAAACAAGCTCAATTGTATGCTAACGGTAGGTTGTAGGGATGGATGTACTTAAAACATACCCGTGAAATGTATATTTAAATATAGTGATAAAAATAATAAAATAATATAAAAAAGACACTAACCTTCGAGTTTCATGCCGACTTCGAGACATTTCTGGAATCGGCAGAACGGACACCTCTTCCTTTGGGTCTTGTCGATGTGACACGACCGCTCGGCCACGCACGTGTACACCTTTTTGTTTTGCACGGTCCGCTTGAAAAAGCCTTTGCATGACTCGCACGTGAGCAGACCGTAATGGTAACCGGACACCTTGTCACCGCACACGGGACACAGTTCCTCGATGCCCTCTTTAGTGTCGGGCAGCTCGGAACCAGTGGCCGACGGGTTGACAGCGGCTGCGGCCGCGGACACGGGCGTACCGCCGCCGTTTCCGCCGACGGCCACATACTGCTGGAGGCCGTCCATGGAGCCGGACACTCCGCCTCCTCCTCCTCCGCCACCGTTTCCACCTGCGGAACCGAACAAATATGCTGTGTCCACATTACCGAGCTGATAACAGCCTTGGTTACTGCCACCCATCATCGAGTACGCGGCGGCCGCGCTGGATGAGGGCGTTTGGTGCTGGGGCGGCATGTACTGGTACAGGGGCGGCGATGAGGCGGGCGGTTGGTACAGCGAATCGTCGCCGCCGTCATCGCCGGACGCCTGTGGCGGGCTGAGCCCGAAATGGGACAGATAACTGGCAGAGTGATCCATGCCGGCTGCTAACATATGACGTACGTACAGGGCGTCCCAGAGGGGCACCCACTTGACACGCGGATCGCACTTTTCGTCACGAATAAGGGCTGCTCGAGAGCATATTTTACTAATGTACTATTGGGGAGTGGTAGTTATGGGGTCGTCGGGCACGAAGAAGACCTTACAACACCCGGAAAAAGTTTTCTGCGGCGGGTTTGTTGATACAACGACGGCCGTTGCGACGGTGTCGCGCTGGAATGTCGTCGCTGTATATAGTTGTTGGCCACGCGCGGACGCGGGGGGCGGCTAGCTGTCGGCTTTCGTCATATCTATAATATGGCTATTGCACTGCAGGTTGGCGAGACTCGTTTGCACAACAACGCGCCCGGTCCGATTTCGTCACTGTGAGACTGAATCGGGCGACGACGACTATACGACGACGACGAAACGCAATCGTTGCGCGGCTCGGCGCACACACACACACACACGGGCGCGCGCGCGCTACACGAACACACAACACACGAGCGCGCGCTACACGCTACACGCACCGGGACCGGTGGGGGACCGACACACTACTGGCGCGCGCGGACACTGTACGACGACGACGACAACGGCGGTGACCAAACACGAATTAATTCCGAAAATTATTAAAGTAATAAATAAACGGCTTTTTATTATTAATATTATAAAAATGATATAAATGATTTTTTCCGAATTATATTATAATCGTATAATATACACACTAACTCAAGAATTAAAAATATAAATAAAAAATATTTTAAGCGTAAAATAAAGCGATACAATTTTTGAAAAAAAAATTTTTACAAGTACCGCGAGAGGATGTATTTTATTTTACAACGAATCGAGCGCGCTCGACGAACACATGTACGAAACTTCGCGGCAGAGTCAGGTTAGCCGTGGCCGTAAGATCGGATACCACACACACAGACACACTGACACGGACGGCACGACGAAACGGCTGAAACAAGTGAAAGTGACGGGGCCGGCCCGAGGTGGGGGCAAACGCGTAATGGCTGTGGCGGCGGCGGTGGCGGTGGTAGCAGCGGCGGCGGATGAGGCGGAGAAGGCGACGGCGCGGTCGTACAGTCGGCGGCGGGGCATAGGGGGGATCTCAATGACCTACTTTCAATTCTGTATGTGTGTGTCCACAATAAGTCCGACAAACGGAGCAGGCGGGTTAGCAAGCACCCGCGTGCGCGCACGCGTGTGTTTGTGTGTTATGTGTGTGTGCGAGCGCGGGGAGTGTTTATGTATATTATGTGTGTGTGTGTGTGTGTGTGTGTGTGTGTGTGTGTGTGTGTGTGTGTGTGCGAGTTTGAATACGCACGCTGAGAGGGGTGGTGAACGAAGATACGCGCGCGTCTCACCTCAAGGTTGCTTAAATAATTAACTAATATTATATTATATTATATTATATATTTGGAGGGAAAAAAACGAGTTAAGTATTAAATTTAAGTAACAACAAAAAAAAACCCCGTAATTCACGCGTAATAGTTCTGAGTATGTTATAACTTATAACTTTTAAATTTTAATGTCGTAGTTATGTTTATACGCATTGTATCGATCACCGGATTTCGATGAACGTGCGGTTTATTATATATTTAATAATAATACCCAAATTTTACTTATTATATTAGGTGGTATACGAAATATACGGTGTATACGAAACTTTACTTAGACAACTTAAAACCTCCAAAATATACTGCAAATGTATAATTTTTTAAACAGATTAAATCTGAAACATGGTATTGTACTACAATACTATAATATAAGATAATAATATATTAATACAATATATAAAATGATATAACTATTATAATTAATACATTATTGTTATTTTCCAACATTGCAATTAAACTTTTAATGTTTATTGTTTTGTTGATTAACTCGTGCACATAAACGTATAGACTTACTATGCATATTTCGGTGTATTGGTTTTACAAAAAAAATTACGCATATTTTGCCAAAATAAATTCTCATAATATGAAGCAACTGTCCAATATTTTAATCGTTGATTAAACTTTATATAAATTGTACGTATGCTTGAGCATTACGGAGAATCAGGATCCTATATGAGGACAGTTTTTCTATATAAACCTAACTGATGTGAAATATATTCTATTATTAAAAAGATTTTGGGTCTTCTAACCTAGAAAAAGTATAATATTTACATAACTGATTGACCAGACGTTCAGAATGTGGAAATGGTAAATGGTTCGTCTGCAAGAAAATTATAATTTACTGGTTATAAAAATTTACCTATACCAATGATTCTAATACAAAATTGAAATAAACAAACTGAAAGCTGTTTATAAACATTAAATATAATATATACATAAATACATAATAACTAGGTGTGATCATTAAATTACTTAATAAAAAAGGGTTAATTAATATTACAGACAGGATTATTCTATGAACTTTGATTACATTCGTTTCATGTCATTATAATTTTAAAACTCGTTTTTATTAAGTAAATTGTACTTATATTATGTCATAAGAACATAATAGTTAATAATAATATTGTATTAACAAATATTTGAAAATTAAATTAAATTACATATTTAAAATATATAGGTATTAATGTATTATAGATGGATAAAATAATATTTAACGGGGCATGTATGAAACGATATATCAAGACATCAAATCAAATTTAACAAGGATAAGCAAAATACAAGAAAATAAAAAATAACATTGAGACGGAACAGGTGTGATGTTATTGATCATTATTCACTGTTTTAATTGTAACTGAAACATCATAATATTGTCATGCCCACTTCCGTCGTGTATTTAAAGTTTTTCTTCTTGTTGTCACCCCACTGACCCAATTCCCAAGGGAAAATAGAATCATCTCATCAGACCCTTAACGATAATACATGCAGCGTTTATAAAAAAAATTAAGCCCGCCTTATTTTTGTAATTTGTTCTACGCACCAGGAGATTATACCTACTGATTTTTTTTTTTGCTATTCATAAAACGTTTCGAGTGTTTTTTATACACCCCCTATATATATACGGACGAAGAGGAGAGTCACCTGATACTGTCGACAGGTGCAAGGGTTATTAGAATAAATCTATTCAACAGTATTTAACGTTTTCCGTAAGCAACCATAAGGTTTACAATAATAAAAAAATATACATTTAAAAAAAAAAAAAAAATGTTTTTTCAAATAATTATGTAAACGTGACCTATTTCCCACACAACTTTAGACTTAACCAATATATTATAATTAGGATTCATTAAGAACCATATGCACACAATCTAAAAATACCGATACAAATATATTTATTATATTTGTGTGGAGCGGTATGTTTAATATACACGACGACCGAGCATATCGATCAATATAATATAAGCAAATACAATTATTATACATAATAGTTCAATTGTTTTCGTTTTATACAAATATAAAACTAAATGTCAAGTGCCGAGGAGTTTAGATCTATTCAGCTTCTGTACAATTGTATATTTGTATATACGATATATGGATTATGCTGTCCTACTGACCTACATAATCGAGTGTGCTCTCATTTTCTTATCAGTCGTCAGGGAAAAAACAAAATACATACAAATATATTTGCACACGCAACTTGAACGAAATCGATAAAAATCCTTTTATGAACGTATTATCAATTAGACGAATAAAAGAAAATTGGAAAAACATATTATAATATGAGCCAATTTATTAGATATAATAATTGTTTAGGCAAGTTAGCGTACCTACTTACAATATATACGTGCGTCTATAACATTATATTGTATTGCTTAACCCAGAGGTAATTAATTGTTGTAAAAATAAAAATAAATAAATATATTATTTACAATGCATGTGTAACTGAGTGTGCTAAGTTTATCTGCGTGATAAATGCGTGATTAAATTTAAATTCCATTAAAATGTCAATCAACAATAATTTATGTAAATAAAAAAATTTATTCGATTAATTATTAGGTATAATGGTGTCGTTCGTTTAATACTGTCATTAAAAATGACTGAAATTTGAATTTTTTTATAACTCAAAACACATTTCATAATCTCGCCACTCCAAAACAGTATACCTATAGGTGCTATATACCTACCTAATAATGATGATTGATGACTAATATTACATTACTGTGTATCGAAACGTTCAATAAAATAATTGATAAGAAATCGGCATTTGATGTCATGATGTCAAAATGGATTTAACTTAATGAAATTAAATTTTTAAAGTACATACGATGAAATTGTTTTAAAAACTTTTTTTATATTATACTAATTCTATACCTATAGCAATACGATTTGCAATACACAAAATATTTGAACATTTTAATGGTTAAATATGTAGGTTAGGTTATAATTATATACCTATACATAAATGTATTTTAAAAAATCGTGTAAATGGATTCGCATTTGATGTCAAATCGAGGCATACTATTTTATTATTCATATGTGTCAAAGTAGAACATATATAAGTAAAAACAGACACTAGTATCGATTGTTATCGCGCCTTTTTTTTATTATTTGAGCTAGGGCAAGCAGGTCCATAGTTCAATACATACACTACAGAATATACTTTGAAATACTATATTTATGTATCTAGGTTACTGACAATAATATTGAATATAATTATTACATTTAAGTAAATATATAAACACACACATATTATAAATATATACATCATAATCAAATTGAAACTATAAAACAAAATTACCATAATTTTGCCACAACTTTAAATAATTATTTGAGGACATTTTTTTTTTTGATTCATATTATGTTTTTATTCAATCCGTTACAAAAAAAAAGAAGAAAAATAAGAACAATTGATGGTTTATAGGTTAAAAATAAACAAAAATAAAAATAAAAAGGCAGATTAGTAGAGGCCTCCCAGCGGAGGTACTACGACATGAGTAGACTATTTGAGGACATATAATCGACGAAATACTCGCGGGTTGTTTTTTTTAGTCAACGATAAACCACCAAATGTCATAATCGATATAGAAACCTAATAGGATAATACAAGCGCATAAG